ATATAGATCCTTGACTCCTTGGGCGACTCTAGACTTGAAACAGTTTTTTGACAGGAAAAGAGGGAGCCAGTGAGGAAATTGAGATCTCCTAATGTCTGGAGAAGAGTCATATTTCTAGTCACCTTTAAAAACACACTTTATGTATGTCTACACAGAGCATCTCTGGAGGGAACCATGAGAAACTGCTAACACGCTTCCTCTCTTATGGGTCACAAAAGAGAGGGAGATTTACATTTTTACAGACCTTTCAAGTGTATCATGTATATTACTGAATTAAAAAGTAAAACCCAAATTACACCAATAATTGTTTTTGCATTGTCCTTTGTTCTTAACTTTAGGGGACCCACGTCATAGCTTAGGGATTCTAAGACTGATGAGAAAAAGGAGCAGTTTAACTTGGGCTCTGCATTTGGATTTACTTTACTGAGCTTGCCAAGAGTATCAGTGAAAGCCTGATTGCAAGGAAAGCTCTTCCTCGCTTTGCTTTGCTTTCCTTTAGGCTGGCAGTGGGCAGATAGAATCTCTACTTCAGGGGCCAAGAGGCAGGAGAAACCTAGTCATCTGATGGTGAAAGTGAGATGACCAGACAAGGGAAGGGCAGAGAATCCTGCTTTGGGAAGGACCCACGTCCTTCACCGGACACATTCACAGGCTTCCCGAGATGCATTTCACCAATAGCTTAACAATCCCTAGATTTACCTGTCCAGACCCAGTCACCAGATACACCAGTGGCTGGTCAGAAGCTAATGTTGAACAAGCCTTCCAGGTGCTCCTGCCACAAGGTAGGTCTGAGACTGAATGTGAATAATTGTGTCATTTTGAGCACATGCCCCTCATTCTTGCATAGATAGTCTTAGAGCATTTTCCAGCTGTCTCCTGGTGGATGCTCTGGCTTCTGAAGGATGAGGACAGCTCTAGCTCAGAGAACTTGAGTTTCTTGCCCAACGTTTTAAAGATCTTAAGAGAACTTAAAGATAGAGCTTTTAAAATCAAGAATTTTAGTATTCTCATTTCTCGTTCAGTTTTCTTTCCTTTGCCCAAGGAATTTATGTGTTTTACACATTTCGAACATGTCCTCAATGGGGACAAAGTGGCCAGATTTGCTGAGGCTTTCCTGTTGGTCAAACTCCATCCTAGGTTTTGTTGCTGGCTCTTTCTCTAAGTCACTTCTCCCACACCCATGTCAGATGTTTGGGTTAATGAGGTCCCTGGTCATAAGACACTATTTGATTTTCCTGTGTCGAACTCTTTATCTTTGATAGACACACCTTTTCTGACTTCCAAGATATTAAAACTTATGTCTCAGCACTAAGGAGAACGTACACAAATTTGTTTGGTTTTCTTTTTAAATTGTGGTAAAATACAAATTATATAAAATTTACCATTAGTGACATCTTGTGCATTCAGGATGTTTTACACATTTTGTTTTTTCTTATATATTATTATTATTTTGGCCTCCAGCACCTGGTTTTCCTAGGTGGTCTCCCATCCAACTACTAACCAGGCCCGACCCTGCTTAGCTTCTGAGATCAGGCATCAGGCTTGTTCCGGGTGGCATGGCCATAGACCATAGACTGTGGCTTCACTGGAGCACGAACCCAGGACCTTCTGCGTGTAAAACAGACATGCTAACTGCTATACTATGGAACGTCCTGTTTTGCACATTTTAAAAACACACTTTATGTATTTTTAAAACACCATTTCTTTTCTTTCATAATTGAGATTTTATTGGTTGTTTTGAGAATAAGTATCCAGACATTTCAATTTGTACACAATTAACGTACACACTAAAAACTTAAAGAGTCATGTAGTTGTGATTCTTTTTAAAATAGTTATTCCAGTGACTTTCCATCTTAAAATTTGGAGGCTGATTTTCCTCAGTAGACTATAAGCACCAATATCTTCAAATGTTGATATGCTGTTACATCAGAGTCCCACTAAATGACAGTTTAATATCATATACACTACATAATCAAATTTTGAATCTTTCACAGCACGTTAACAAAGTTACTGGGAAAACTGGACTACCATGACAAAGATATTACACACAATTCTGACAGGGAGAGCCAAGATCAAGGAGTAGTTTTCTTCGGGAAATAATTCTACTGAAAACATGGGAATAGAATGTTCTATTTAAAATGTTCAAGATATATTAAATGCACAACTGACTGTAAATTGCCATTAGTGTGCTTTGTGTTATAGGATATAAAAACTGCCCCCATCTACGGAATGTTAAGCCGACACCCAAGACAATCAAAGCTTCCCATATTCAATATTCTATTCTTTTCTAATTATACCAAAAAATAACCAGCTAATTATTTCACCTCTTAGAAAAAGCATTTACACTTAAAAAAATGGAATGAGGTGGAATTCCCGCCTAAAAATGTTTCTAGAGCTACTAAAAAACTTGCATTTACAAAATAGTTGATAAAAATATTCCTCTGGATTATACAAGAAGGGGGACGGGACCACTGAAAAGACATGGTATATGATATTAATTAAACTTGGCTTCTTTCTCTCCTGCTTCATCAGAGGCCAGACTCTCGTTTCTTAGTTTCTCCACTTTCTGCAGGTAAATCTTTAGTTTCTTGGTTAGCCACTGTGGCCTGTTTCTGCTTTGCTCCTTTTTTTCCTTTTGTTTGCTCTTTTATGCATGCAGATTTATCCTTTCCTGCTGCCTTTTTTGACTTCGTTTCCACTTTTGCAGGAGCAGGCTTAGCTGACAACCTCTCCAACCTCTTCTCGGGCTTGTCCTTCACATACACACCCTCTGCAGAGCTGACCTTGCTCTTGGGCAACATGGGGCGGTGCCTGCAGGAGGCAGCGAGCAGAGAGCCTTTGCTCCTGTTGCCCAAGCTTCTGGAACCTGCCATCACCTCCATTTTTATCACCCCAAAAGGACACCCTGTACCCATTAGCAGTCATTCCCCATTTCCCCCTCCCCCAGCCCTGGCAACCAATAATCTACTTTCTGCCCCTATGGATTTGCCTGTTCTAGAAGTTTCATATAAATGGAATCACACAATATGTAACCTTTTGTGTCTGGATTATTTCACTGAGCAGAAATGTTTTCAAGGTTCACCCATATTGTAGCATATCAGCGCTTCATCCCTTAAGGACCAAATAATATTCCACTGTATGGAATTACCACATTTTGCTTATCCACTCATCTGTTGGTGGACATTTGGGTTGTTACGAATAGTGAAGCTATGAACATGTATTTACAAGTTTTTGTGCGAGTCTCTGTTTTCTTTTGGAGATGTACCTAGAAGTGGAATTGCTGTCACACATGGTCATTCTGTGTTTAACTTTTCGAGGAACCACCAGATGTTTTCCACAGCAGCTGCACCATTTTCCATTTCTACCAGCAATGGAAAAGGGTCTCAATTTCTCCACATACTCACCTACAGTTGTCATTTTTTCATTTTTTAATGGAAAAATGTCTCTCTCTCTATATATATATACACAAGTTTTTAAATAAATTGTTCTTATTAAATAGAGAAAAACAGTTAAAGTCAGAAATTAAAAAGTTTATACCAAAAACATTAGTCTCTTGTCTCTTTCCATCCTCCTTTAACCCATTCTAGAGAGAGCCACTTGCCACTGTTTCCTCTGGGTTTTACCTTCACTTAACCTCGGTTATATCCTCGTTTATCCATTTTGAGTCATTGACTTCCTTTTCGGGTACATGAGGATTATAACTAACTCCGGCCCATATGATCCCTTCCAATATAATTTGTATTAGGCACTGGTTTGACTGTTTTAAAAGGATCAGTACAACAAACACCTTACCTTACACAAGATAGATGTTTGTTTCTTTGTCGGATAATGAATATAAAGAACTCAAGGATGTTGGTGGTTTCCACCTACCAGCAACCCCATGCTCTTTCTGTCCTGTGGCTTCACAGTCTTCGAAAGTGTTTTCCATCTTATTTTCCAAGATGACTTCTCCAGGTTTCCTCACCATACCCACCCACGGTCCAGCCACAGGAAGGGAAGCAGGGAAGGAGGGAGCGTGTTCTCCCCTGTAAAGGCTCAGAAGTTGTGCATAGCACCTGTGCTCATCCACACAGCTATCCACCCTCCTTCATGTGACTTCTAGCATATTTTATCTTTTAATAATAATTAGCTAGTATTTGAGTGCTTCATTCATGTCAGATACTGTTATAAATGCTTGCTTCTCATTTATAATTTTTTTCTCCCCTTTAATTCTCCCCACCGACTTCCACCCCTGACCTATGGATATTGCCGTCTCCTCTTAAGAACTGGATCTCTGAAGGCAGGGTGTCTCTTCCCACAAGCTCGCCACATGCACCCAGGGCCTGGCACACCCAGGCTGTGGTCCGTGGCTCCACCTGGGCCGCGAACCCAGGACTTTGTGCGTGTAAAGCAGACATGCTAACCACTACACTATGGAGCCACCCCCTCATTTATAATTTAACCCTTAAAATAGTAGATATTGTTTCCCTTTTATAGATGAGGAAATTAGGTGCAGTCAAATCAAGTAGCTGCCCAGGTCACACAGTGAGTAAGGGGCAAGGCTGGGGCTCCAGAGCCCACCTAACTTAGGTTCCATGGCCCTCTAGGGAGTCCCACCCAGGCTACCCTTTTAATCTGTGCTTTGAGCTGGTGGAAGCCTGGTCAGAGGTGCCTGGCCTATGAGCTGGCAGGGCTTAGTAATGTTAGCGTGCAGGCTTATTGTTAGTCCTGGCCCAGCACTGCCCTGCAGCTCCCTCGCCATGTTTCAAAGTCAGTAGGCAGGAGACACCGGTGTGTTAAGGATGAGTATTTCCTGTGCTGGCTCTATACAACTAATTTGCCTTTCTGAATTAAAGGCCTTCTTGAGTATAATCTCTGACACCCTACACATTTATTTTTAGCTTTTATTTCTTGGGCTGATGGCCCACAGTCGCCACTGCAGCAATGTTCCTACGCTGCTAAGAATAGCAGAAATCGACGTGTGCTGCAGCTTTTGACTGTCTCTTGTTTTATTGACACAGTGACCAGGAGGTAAACTTTGAGATGTGCACAAGATGATGGACAGCAAAGACTTAGAAGCTGAAATCCATCCCTTGAAGAATGAAGATGGGAAATTGCAGGAGAATCTGGAAAACCAAACGAAAAAGGAAGAGAGCTTGAAAAGCAGCCCCCTGCAGTCCCGCCTCTCCCGATGCAGGACAGCGGCGTTTTTCCTCTCACTGTTTATATGCCTTTTGGGAGTGTTTGTGATTTCCTTCATCATCCCGTGTCCAGACCAGCCAGCTTCACAGGGGCCGTGGAGGATCAATTATGACACAGCAGGTGCCGCCTCCCCCCTCCACATGGCATTCCAACCACTCTCATTGGGGTGGGCGGTGGGATCAGCATGGGTGTCCAGGAATCTGGAAGTCATCCTTGATGGTGAATCAACCCTAAGTGGCTGCCAATTCTGTGTCCACGTTTTTCCTGGAATTTGGAGGGAGCTACAAGAGCTGATGCTCAGTACAAATGGAAGGACTGCCATGGGGGCATAGTGGTCCACTCTCCCATTTTAGGAAGGATGTGTTAAGTCTGTAATGAAAGCAGCCCTTTTGGTTACTTTCCTGAATTTAAAAAAAAAAAAAAATTGTAATAAAGCAGTCACTGGTGCAGAGGGAGATATAGAGAAAGCTGTCAATGAAATGTGAAAACTATGCAGCCAATTTTGTAGTCCAGTCTTCCTGAAAAGATCTAGCTACCATTCTAGTTAGCTTAACTTATATAAAGCACACTTTAAGTTCTGTCATAAAATTAGTAGTCTGGAATCTTGGTCTTTATAAAAAGCACCTGGATAAGCCTCTCTCTGGACACTCTACTTTCTTAGAGTTGCCTGTGCTTCCAATGTCATATCAAAGAAATCATTACCAAAACCAATGTCATGAAGATTCCCCTATGTTTTCTGCTAAGAGTTTTATAGTTTGGCTCTTATGTTTATTTAGGTCTTTGATCCATTTTGAGTTCAATTTTGTATATGGTATAAGGTATAGGCCCAACTTCATTCTTTCGGTGTTTGATTTTTTTTTTTTTTTTTTAACACCTACAGCACCTGGTCTTCCTAGGTGCTGTAGGATACTGTCTCCCATCCAAGTACTAACCAGGCCCAACCCTGCTTAGCTTCCGAGATCAGACGAGATCGGGAGTGTTCAGGGCGGCACGGCCATAGACTGGGTGTTTGATTTTAAAGCATATAGTTTATCATTTGAATCTTCGAATGAAAGGAAGGGCTAGACCCTTACGAGTATGGAAGTGTGGACTCTCTAGATCCCAAACAGACATAAGGAGGGATTCATTCCTGAACAGAAGGTCCATTTGTAATACCCAGGTGTCCTGCTTGCTTCTTGCTAACTGTTAAGCTCCGATACTGTCATCCATCATGTGCATGAGGAATTGCTGGTGTGGGAAAGAAGTGTGGGAAATGGCTAGTCCTAGTGAGGAAGAAGCCGCTGCCATTGTGTCGCTCTCACAGTGGTAGGTTCTAGCTGGCACTAAACCCCAAGGAGTAGGGAAGTAGGTCATGTCAGACTTGACCTGACCTTCAAACTTGGCATGGCCTAAAGAATATAGTCTGTGGTTTTCTTTTTCAGTCACCTACGACTTTCTGGCCATGGAAGACATAAACAGAGACAGGGTGCAAGATGTTCTCTTTCTTTATAAAAATACCAACAGCAGCAACGATTTCAACAGGTCCTGCGCCAGTGAAGGTAATTTTGTTTCTGTCCACAAAAGGAGAAACTCCCTGTAGGAGGAGGAATCCTTGCTCTTGCAATGTTGAGAGGAAGCAATTGGAATTTCTGGAAATTGTCATCACCCTTCCTTCTTAGCAGGACTAGAAAGGGACAAGGAGGCAGGCTCCAGGCCCAGCACACGCCCGCTTGGCTACTGACCCTTGTGGGGTCAACACTAGTGCCCCATATCTGGGGGTAAGGGTCCAGGGATAAAGGGAATGAGCCCAGATGGTAGGGGCTGTGGCCACGAGCGAGGAGTGAGAGAGAAGGGCTGGCAGCGAGTGGGCTGCGTGCAGGGCCCCACAGACTTGGGTCTTTCCCCTCCAGGCTTTTCCTCTCCCTGCACCTTTGTGGCTGCTGTGTCAGGGGCCAATGGCAGCATCCTCTGGGAGAGGCCTGCAGCCCAGGATGTGGCCCTCGTGGAGTGTGCCATCCCCCAGCCAAGTGTCAGTGGGGCATCTTCTGCCTGCATCCTCATGGGCAGACTGGGTTCTTTCATCGCAGTCAACTCATTTACAGGTAGGCCAGTTCTCTCTGCAGTTCCACCTGGGCTTTCTCAGAGGGGAGGACTAATGCCAGGATGCTCTGAGAAGGGTCAGCCTGTGCCCTCGGGGGTGGTGTGACAGAATGGAAACGAAGGTTACAGGGTGGGAGGGAACCCCCACATGAGGACACAGCCACTTAGCAGTTATACACCTAAGCTATCCTGACATGTCACAAGCCATTGTCTTGTCTCCTCCAGGTTAAATCTTGCTTGTGGGGCATGGCAGACAGTTGCTGTGGAGTGGCAGAGATGAGGAGGGGCTTCGCTGCTGCTTGTCATAGAAAGTGTCCACAACCTTTTTTTGCAGCAACCTAGGTGAATGTAGGCTGTGCACCCACGTGGTGCCTGTCAGTGCTCTAGGTGTGAGGGTGCTTGTTTCTGTTCCTTAAGGTAACAGGCTGTATTTAGGCGCCAAGGGGATGGTTCCTTATACCTACCAAGGTCTTAAGGAATTCTCTGCATTAACACTAGATTTGGTGGGTATTAGTATTTTCCTTCCAGGCTGTGCTTTTAAGGATATGGAGGAAAATAAAGAGCAGGCTGGAAATATAAGAAGAGAGGAATCAGTCTTAAAAAAAGGGCAAGATTGTATCTGGGTTAGAAGCTGTTCCTTCAGGACCTGCAGTCCCCAGGTTCAACCGTAAGTACCTTCATTCTGTCCTGAGTGAAGGGCAAAGGCACAGGCCACTCACCCAGGGACTTCATGGGGGCAGAGGATCCACCTCTGAGCCCAGCAGAAGGCAGGGGTCCTAAGGGGCCTTGGGAGATGGCGAGGTCAGGCCCTCTCCATTCAGGTGGAGAGGGTCAGCATTGGCCCTAAGATGCTCTAGAAACAAATATTAGAAAACAGATCAGCACAAAAAGGATGAGGAGGTGGGCGAAGGCGAAGCTCTGTGGTGTCCAGAAGTAACACTTTCACACTTATATAAGCCCCTGGTCTTTTTCACACATGCACATCCATGTGTTCAACAGTCCAGCTCACATTGTACCCGCCTTCAGCCTCCTACTGGCAGGCATTTCCATTTCCAAGTAGGAGCCTCTGCAGTTGCCAGGCTATGTCTGAAGGGGACCCTGAGCCAGCGACGTGTGCTTGGTTTTAGGGGAAACACTGTGGAACCATCCCAGCAGCTTCGGAGGGAATGCTTCCATCCTGAGCCCTTTGCTCCAGGTGCCTGACCTCGATGCCGACGGGACCCCAGACCTGCTAGTTCTCACCCAGGAGGAAAAGGAGGTATAGCTCTCTTCCCGAGTCACCGTGGCCCACAAGCCCCATGGCCTCTTCTCTGCCCTCTGGTCCGCTTCTACTTCCCAGGCCAAATTTGGGTCCGACCACCTGTCAGGGGACTTGCCCAGGGCCCCATGCTCCTCCAGACCTAGCACATGGGCAGCTCTGTCCCTATCTGCAGCTTCTGGGCCTCCCCAGAGACAGAAGTATATGTCCTATTTGTACCACTGCGATGTGGGCATGAGGCTCTAAGGACTGTGAGGGTCTCTAGGCCGGCAGACCACCTTCTCCCAGGTGGGCTGTGCACTGACGCCCGATATCAGACACTCTTAAGGCAATTGTTACCTACATCGGGAATTTTGACCTCTTTTTCCTATGTGTTGCAGGTTAATGGCTACATCTATTCAGGTAGCACTGGGCACCAGATTGGCCACCAAGACAGCCTCTGTGAGAACGGGACCAGTGGTTCCCTCCTCTTTGTTACCAGAGCGGGCGCCCACTACATCCTTCTCCCCTGTGGTATGTTGTGCCTGTTGGGCCCCAAACGGCCTCACTCTCAGAGGCCATGCTGGTCTCAGATGAGCTCTGCATCCTGGAGAAAGCAGTGTGAGGAGATCTGTGACCACAGTGAGGCTCATCAACTCCTGCTTTTATTCTAGGGATTCGAATTAATCATTGACAGGCTGAGCAAGCCACAGAGGGTCTCAGCGCTCCCCCCACCACACACACACACACACTCCCCTCAGCCCCTGAGACTCAGGGAGGTTACCACATGTTCCTGGAAGTGGGGCTGGTGGGCATGCATCTTCCCAGTCCCCTGACAGCGACCCTTGGTAACTTGAGGTTCTCCTGTGTTTTGAGTAGCAAGTTCCCTCTGTGGCCATTCTGTGAAAGGCCTCTATGAGAAGGTGACTGGGAGAGACAGCCAGCTAAGGAGAGACCCCTACTGGGAGGACATGCTCAACACCACGACCCACAAGCTGCTTTTGCACAGGTTGGTCTGGGCAGCGGCCACATAGGCCAGGTCCCGCTCCTCAATGCTTGCTGCTGAGAGCTTTGCTGCTGGTACTGTGAGGCCAGGGAGAAGAAGGTTCCCGAAAGTAGGCTTACTCTTGCCACACACAGTAAGGGTCTTGTTTTATATTCTCAAATTAGAGAACTAAGAAATAGCGGCTGCATGTGGGAGCCCGGAATATGGTGCCTAAGGGAGAGTCCCGCCCTCCAGCCTCTGTATTCAAGCCGTGACCCACCCCCACCTCCTCTAGCTCTGGAGGCATCCGCTACCTGATGAATGTTCCCGGGAAAGGCGGCGAGCATCTTCTCCTCGTGAGTTCAGAGGCCTGTGTGCTGCTGGACGGGCAGGAGTTGGCACCCATATGGACTTTCAGTGCAGCCCAAGTCCTCAGGTACAGGGTCTTCTCCAGGAACCCATGCAGTTGTTGCAAACTGAGCACCCCCAGCCCATCCCCTGGCCACCCTATGGACGAGGTCCCCACTGTCGGGGGGAGGATCCGTGCTTCTGCCAGCAGCCTTACTTTTTACCTGGTGCTGCCCTGCACTGGAAGCCGCCTCAGCTTCCCGTCTCCCAATGGACCCTGGGACGGGGAGCCCGGCCCTGCCCGGGTGCATCCAAGGAGATGGCTTGTATACCTGTCCCAGGTATCTCCTCACAGAGACCCTTCTTAAGCTCTCCTTCCATATTCTCCTTTCAGAAAACCCATCCTTGGCCACTACACACCTGACACCTTGGCCGTGGTGATTGAAAATGGAACTGGCATTGACAGACAGGTTGGCTGCATTTCCTTTTGAGGTCCTACGTTTGTTCATAGCTGAGGAAAATTAGTGTGAACCGCAGACAGGGCTGTGGCCGGGATGCTGAGCTGGGATAAGAGGGGCCTCAGGGAGACATCCTGGTTACCCTCAGGGAGCAGCTCCTTCAGGGTTGGCGTGGCTGGGGATCCATGTGCCTGTGCAAGCCCTACTCTCAATCCCCCATGCCTCCTCCCTCCCCAGATGCTGTTCCTGGACCTCAACACCGGGGTCGTCCTGTGGATCCAGGCCCTCCCAGGCCTCCCTGGGGACCCTCAATCTGCCAGCCTGCCGACTGCAGACCACCGCTCAGCCTTCTTCTTCTGGGGCCTCCACGAGCTGGTTGGTGCCAACCAGATGGTACGGGCAGGATGCCGCTCAAGGGACACACTTGTGCCAAAAGCCAGGGCCAGAGACCAAAGGCCAGTCTTAGGTCCCACCTTGAGGAGCTACTTGGACGACTGGGCATGCGCAGATGAACAGAAGCTGCAGGGGAGGCCAGGGCTAGGGGCTGTCCCAGGGCCAGACAGGGGATCTGGGAAGAAGTGGGGTACCCTGGGGAGGGCAGGCACAAAGTTCCACGTGGGGTATACCCAAGAAGGATCGGAGTCAGGGATGGAAGATGGGTACAGCATTGAGTTGGTTTTGTGGGACCCCAGGTGGGGACCAACAGTTCTAACATGGTCACTGTGCCAGGCGTTAGCGGAGCATTGCCCAGCCACCAAGCCCAGGACACTTGGTTTCTTGGCCCAGATATGGAGGTGGCTGCAGCCCAGCTTCATGCTCCATGGTTGGTTCTCACCCTAGGAACCCAGAGACGCCCATCACAGCCTATACATGTTCCATCCTACGCTGCCCAACGTCCTGCTGGAGCTAGCCAACATCTCTGCCAACATCGTTGCCTTCCAAGGTGAGTGTGGCCTTGGCATGGGTCTGGGCCCTGCCACCTGGAGGTTGGGTCTATTTGGTCCCAAAATACCTGACATCCGTGTCCTCCACAGTGGCCCTGTTTGAGCCAGGCCGCCATGCTGCCTGCATCCTCCTCACTGGCCCGGCCGGCCCGGATGCACCTGGCCTGGTCTCTGTGGCCAAGCACAAGGTGCAGGACCTCATCCTGAGCAGCAGGGTGGTTCACCTGGCTGAGGGTGGGCCTGACAGCGACCAGGCTATCAGGGACCGGCTCTCCCGCCTGCGGTACCGGAGCACGGCCTAAGATGCACAGCAGCCAGAGCACATGGGAGAGGCTCCAGCTGCTGAAATTAAACATCCTGGGAAGTTGGCCCTTCACTCACTTGGTCTGTACACTGACTCCCCACTCCTGAGCCTGGCAGCGGTCTTAGTACCTAGGGGCATTTGTGGGTGAGGGGACACCCAGGCCTCTGCCCTCCTTTCCTGCCCAGCACACTGTGTCCTCACACAGGTTCTCTGTGCCCCACTGGGATCACACTCAAGGCCATCTGCCTTCACGGTGGGTCTTCCTGTGGGAAGAGCCAAGGCTTGTCCTACAGAAGTCCCTTTCCCTTTTCTTGTCTGAGCCCTTCCTTCTCTGCACCATCCCCTTGGATAGTGGACCCTGGGGTGGCCTCAGGGCAGAGGTTGAGCCTAAGGCAGTTCCAGCCCCCAGCCCTTCCCAGAGCAAGGAGGGGAAAACCCTAGCGTGGTTGGTGGTGACTTGCCCTAGAGAGCCCCTTTGACCTGGCCCACGATGCATGGGGCTTGTAGGGCATGATGGGAGGGCTGCTCATGAGTGGCCTGAACGGGGCTTATGCCTCTGTGCTGGCTGTTTACGCTCTGAATGTTCCAAGGAATTGGCCATGAGATACACACCTTAGGGTCATTTTGCACCCTCTCAATACACACTGGAGCTGCTTGTCCCTCGGGAGGCCCTGCACCCCGGGCTTGGCCAGCACCCCTCCTTCCTGGTGCTTGGACGCCCCCTGCAGTTGGTGTCACTTAATGCAAAACTCACCTCTGTGCCTTGTTGCACCCCAGGGCCACTGCGGTGCGCTGTGAGGCCCAGCTGTGCTAAAACATAAAAAAGCAGGCTGATGACCCTGGGTACCATGGGAAGAAATCAAAATAAATGTTTTTTGCACTGTCTGCAAAAGCCCCAGAGGGCACGTGTGCATCTCGTGCCTGTCGGCTCCAAAAGGGTAAAATGGATTTGTTTCTGTCCAGGCTTCTGGGTCAGGGTGGGAAAGGTGGCTGAGGAGGTAAGGGGCCCTCTACTGGTGGTTCTTGGAGCACCTCACACTCACACCTGCCAGAAAGGAAACCGAGCCCCAGATGTCTTTTTCAGCGTGGCCCCCAAGCACAGCTCAGTTTTGAAGACCCCTCCCCGCTCGCTCATAGCAATCCAGGAACCCAGCCCATGGATGTGGGTGTGGGGACAGGCAGGGGGTCCCCCCAGCACCTCTACATCCTCCAAGGGCTGGCCAGGAAGGGGTTGTGGGTGAGCCCAGGCATGAGGAGGCCAAGTACGGGGGCTTCAGTGAGATGCTGCTTTGAGTACCAAAGTGATGAGCATGGTGGTTTTAGAGCATCCCTCAGGAATTTTTTTGAAATATGATAAGCCCTGTTTTCTAGCCACGGAGACAGCCATGATCAGGTCTGTTTCTTGCAAAGGCCTGGGAGGGGCAGTGAGGGGGCTGAGGTTGAAAGGATGGGTGCCCTTGTGCCAAGGAGCGGGTCCCTTGTCCTTGAGAAAAACTATCCAGCCTACACGGCCTCAGGCATGACAGGGCTATAGTGACAGGTCTACAAATGAAAATCACCTGGAGTGGGGCAGGGCTGGGGGCTTGAGTGATGCTCACAGCCTCCCAGGGTCCAGGTCGGGGTCCACAGCACCAGACAGAGGCGTCAGATCTGGGGAGAGACCACCTTGCAGGTCCCAGGACAGTGAGCAGGAGTTGGGGAACTGAGCCCAGGGGATACCCTCACTGATGGGCCTCCTGCACCCTGGACTTGTAAATAAAGCAGTTATGCCCATGAGGGTCCATACCGTGTTCCCTGGAACTCTGAGGCCTTGGGGTACAACCGGTCCAGGAGGCGATGAATCAACACCAGGAGCCTCCCACCACGGACTCCCTGGACTGCTTCCTTACTCTCCTCTGGAGCACTCAGGCATCCTTGTCTCATCAGAGTACAGACAGCGTTCCCAACTGTCTCCTCAAAGACCAGACCCTCCAGTCTGCAGCCTGAGTCCAGCTTGGACACCCACATACAGGACCCTCCATGATGTCTTTGACACCTGAACTCACGGTATCTTTCACCATCTCCCCCACCACTGCATGCCTCACACACCACACACGTGTGCATACGCACCACACACGTGTGCATACGCACATACACACCAGGATGGGCTCAGAGTAAGAGCCAAGGGTCCTTTATTTCTGTACCAAGAGTGGGTGGGAGGGGAGGGTACTGCCCCAGCTGCTCCAGTCAGAGCTGTACCCCCAAAGGAGCAGCTATTCCTTTACTCTGAGTCTAGGGGAAGGTGGGGCACCTCAAGACAAGAGTGACTGGTGTCATGTCACGGCATCTCCCACAGGCTCCACCCACCCACCCAGGCAGAGCTATGAACTGGACCAGTTGTGAGGGGTGAGGACATCAGGGCCATCTCTGTACGTACAAATTCTGGCAGAGAAGCCATGGCTTCGAGAAGACCAGATGGAGGTGCACCTTTAGGACAAGGTCGGGAACATGTACAGACCAAGATCAGGGCACACCTGTGGGGACTGCTCTGGACTCCTTGGAAGGCTGAACATGGCCTCACCAAAATTCAGGGAGCTCTGTGGAGTCCTCATCAGGGTCACAGTAGGCAAAGTAGAGTAGGAAAATTAACCCTGAAGCCTGCATTTTCTCACCACGTGACAAGTAGCACCTGCAAGACTTGTGTGTCTTGCTCTCAGTTACTCTCTTGCCAATTTAATGGTTCTGGAGATGGGGGTGGGCCAAACCGAAGACCACAAACTGCTAGGAGCATGGTCTGATTTGCCCATCTCATCCCACCTTTCTCCAGGTGACTCAAGCTTGGCCAATGACATCCCCTCCCTAGGAGCCAGCACCTGGACCAATTCATTCTGGGAAACCTGAGTGAGACTCGTGTGCCCCACAGCAAGGCAAAACTTATGCATGAGGAGACACCCATGCTGGGGGTCTTAGCAGCTGCCAGGACCCCAGGTGAGAGGAGAGAGGCCAGGATGACCACCTCCTCCTCCAGGCTTAGGCCCACCTAGGCCTCCCCATCACCACTGCTGGGGCCACCGGCAGCAGCCGCAGGTTCCCCAGAGGCAGAAGCAAGAAGGAGAGCAGGGCTGGGGCTCGAACGCCGTGGTTTCCGCATGAACGGGAACACCCTGTAGGAGAGAAGGGCCGTGAGTGCAGGGTGGCCTCAAGCGTCCTGCCTGCCTCACACTTCCCAGGTGCAGGGCACCACCTAGGCTCACCGTCTTTTTGTCTCCGAGGGGATCACGGCTTCCTCCAGCAAGGCTTTGTACATTTCCGACTTCAGGAACCTTGGGTAGGAGTCCTGCAAGAGACGGCAGTCAGCTCTGACCGCTGCCTCCTCCTCATTCTCAGCTTCCCGCAAGACTCCAGCCTGGCACTGCTGGGGCCTCCTCTGACCCTTAGAGCCCACAGTGGACAGTGCTAGAGGCAGCCAGCTGAGATCTGCCCTAACCAAGTCAGCTGACTCAGAGAGACCTGGGCTCCCATCCAGTTGGGCCAGTTAACACCCAAAGATGAGCAACAGCCCAGTGCCCATGCCTGAAGGAGTGAACCATGGCACCTCCAGTGGGGGAATGCCAAGCTGCCATCCACCCCATAGAGAGACGGCAAGGACACAAATTGTTCAGTGAGAAGGGAAGATGGTGGAGGGGAAGGAAGAGAAGCTAGATTTAGTTGAATATATCTTGCTTTATAGACTGGATTTTGAAACTAAATAGTTCATATAATTATAAAATAATAAGCAATCCCCAAATATTGAAAATAAAGTGGAACAAGTGGAGTTGGACACCCAGTGGGTGACAACCCTAACCACACGTGACAGCGGAGTGGTTAAACGGGACGTCGAGTAGGATACATACAAGGGACCAAAAAGAAAAAAAAGTAAACCATCTTCAGTGAGTGTACTATTCATGGTGCTGTTATGTTATTCAGTTCAGACTACTGAGTGAATGGTGAGAAAAGTAAATACATAATTACGTTAGCATTGTTGAAAACCAAGATTTTCGTGGGGATGGGAAAAGAGACACAAATCAAGAGGTAAGGAAAGTCTAATCCCGAACCTGAATTAGAAGTGTCAGTATGCACACATATTTCCTGATTCTGTTCAATGAAATGCCTGGAAATGATGACCACCCCAGTGGCATGAACACGGCTGGTGTGTACGTCAAGGTTTCTAAACACCACCCCTGAAAAAGGGCGGGGGTTGCCCGTGGAAATGGCTAAGTCTGGGGCAGGATGAGCCTAGGACAAGCTGCCACACCAGGAAGCAAGGGAGCCACCACAGACTGGGAGCCAGCCAGCCAGAGATGGACTTCTGAACATCACATAATAAGGACTGGTATAGATTAAAGCCCATAAAATCTGGTGAAAATGTGAATTTATGATGGTATTAAGAACATCAAAGTTTATGGCCATGCCACCCCGAACAAGCCCAATCCTGTCTGATCTCAGAAGCTAAGCAGTGTTAGTACTTGGATGGGAGACCACCTAAGAAGACCAGGTGCTCTAGGCATAAAAAATTAAAAAATAAGAGATTGTAAACTGACAAGGTCCTTGCAATCTGTGAAGTCAACCAAGGGTTGCCTTGCCTAAAAAAAAAAGAAAAACATCAAAACTTCACTGACTACCCTTGGCAGATGCTGGGGGGTCCACCTCATTATTTTGAAAAGTGGCAATTAAGGAATCAAATATTGATTCTGCCTTTCCTATTGGTACCACTGGGCCAGCAAAGAGTGGGCAAGGGGTGCTTCCAGCTCAGAAATAAAGAGGCAGTGATTAGAACATCACTGATGAAATCGTGAGTCTGGGCAACGACTGTCCGTGGCTGCTCGAATCACAAAAAGGGAGGCAAACAGACCTCATGTATCTCCTGATGGAAGAACACCCCAAATTGAAGAATATTCTTGACAAAACCAAACAACAAAACTAAATGACTCTGATCAAGCCTTAAATGTAACTACTAATTTACAGCAACAGGAGATAGAAAACACATCAGAGATGCCACGAGGGCTCTGCAAAATCCAGACTAGGAAACCACAGGACAAAGGACCCAGTTCTTTCAAAACAACAAAAAAGATAGGGAGAGAAACCTATGCAGTACTTTAAAAAGAAGTTTAAGAGACATTAACCAATTCTAATGTATGAATCTTGTTTAGATCCAAAGTCAAGCAAATTGAAAAAAATTAGATAAATATTTATAAGCCATGGTATACAGAATTAAAAGCCCCCCAGAGATGTGTACATCCTAATCCCTGGAACCTGTGGATCTGTCCCCTTATGTGGCACAGGGACTTTGCAGATGTGATTAAGTTGAAGGTATTGAGGTTGCCTGGATTATCTCGATGGGCTCAATGTAATCGCAGGGGTCCTTGTAAGTGAAAGGAGGAGGCAGGAGGATCAAAGAGAGATTTAAAGATGATACACTGCTGCTACACCTGAAGCTAATATAATAATTGTGTGTCAACTCTAATCGAAAAATACATTTAAAGTTTTATAATTTAAATTAAAAAAATTAAAAAAAAGATGACACACTGTTGCCTCTGAAGATGAGCCAAGGATGCAGGTGCCTCTAGGAAGGAAAAGCCAGGAAACATTCTCCCCTGGAGCCTCCAGAAGGAATCAGCTCTGCTGACACCTTGAAGTTAGCCTAGTGATACCCGGGTCAGACTCTGGCCTCCAGAACTATAAGATAATAAATGTGTGATGCCTTAAGCCAGCAAATTTGTGGTGTTTTTTTTACAGCAGTAACAGAACACTAACACAGAGGCCAAGTGGGCAGGTGTGGACCCTGACTGGCTAGTTGAAGACGCTGTGTAAATACTATGTGTCTTGGGTGTGCTACTGGTGTCTGCAGCCTTGTTGAAAGCGAGGAGGTGGTCCGTGTCTTTTACAGAAATGTCCTGAAATACCTACAGATAGGAAGTCTGGAAATAGCTTTAAAGTCACAGAGGAGGGACACCCACCTTCTTCATCAGCATGTAGATGTGCAGTTGGGCGTCATCCAGCATGTAGCGGTGGGGCTGGTGCAGGCCCTCCAGGGTCCGCTCCATCGTCTGGCTGTCAATGTTGACCCAGCGGGCAGCACCAGGGGCCAGGAACTGCCTGTGTGTCAGGGCAGGGGGACAGCCCTGTGTGAGTCCAGGCTCTGTGTGCCTGCCCTCCAGCCGGCCAGGCTGCCCCCTTACACTCACTGGTACACGGTGTCCACCAGGGTGGGGACCTGGGCCTGCCTTCCGTGGCGCAGCTCCTCACATGCCTCCCAGAAGCTGAGGTTCTCGGCTGGGGGTCCAAGCACCAGATCAGGCCCACCTGAGCTGTTGCTAGGGCTGATTGAAACCTAGGAGGGGGCCCCCAGACAATGGCCTCCCTCACTGGGGCCTCAAACTTGGCGGGGCATGGCAGGCATCTTACCACTGAACTCTTTCCTGAGAAAGTCCATGAAATGGGCCCGTCCCATGGGGTCTTCCAAGAGTTCCCGGAAGCTGAAGCCCCATTGTTCTACACGGAGCTTTGTGGGCGCAGCCACACTGGAGGAGAGGATGGGTGTGTCAGCATGAGGAGCGTGGGGTGGGTGGGGAGGCTGAGGAGAACATCTGCAGACCCTCTTGCTCACCCTTGGCTCACCTGGGTGCATTCATGGCCCAGTAGGTGTCATCATCTGTGATCCAGGGGTTGCTGGGCAGGCACCCCGACATGATGGGGTCATGCGGCTCATGCTGGCTGCTGAACTTCAGGTACCTGGGAGTGGGGATGATGCCGGGGGCCAGTGCAGGGAGGGGCTATGGGGTCGAGGGCACTGGAGGAAGGTTCTGGGCTCTGGGCTTAGGGTCTCCAGCTGTCACCCCATCCCACTCACGCCTCAAGGCAGACAGAGGACTTCACCCGGGTCCTGCCCAGGGCCTTTCTGCAGAACTCCACCTAGGACATGGGACCTTTGAAGTAGGGCTGGGGCTGGGGGTCAGCCAGCCCACCCGCCTGCACCAGCCCCCATAGGACCTACCTCCCTCTTGTAGAAATCCGTGTTCTTAGTCTGGAAGGGGCCAGGAAAGCTACAGTTAAAAAGGCAGATCCCTGCTGGGGACTGACATCCCACCCTGGGCTGGAAGAGAATGGCCCAGGCCCCTGCTCTGCCCCTCAGAGCCCCCTCCTCTAACGATGGGGTCTGACTTTCCAGAAAGCTTTTGGGGACCTATAGTCTGGAGATTTCCAGAATGTTCTCAAAGTTGCTGTGAGGTTCGCCAAGTTGTCACTATCTCGTATTTTCAAATGTATTTAAATCACTTTTTGAAAACAACAAAAACTTGAGAAATACTACTGTAGATCACCCTGGGAACCCACACTGCTACCTGCTCCAGATTTGACTCATCGTGTTCAGAATTCAGAACCTGCCCCCCACCTTTTCATGAGCCAGGTGGAGGAGCATGGCCACAGGACTGGTGGCCCTTCCCAACACTCCGCAACCAACACGGATGCAGCCGGAGGGAGGCAGACAGCACCCTCAGAATGCCTGTGATTTCCAATTTCTGTCTCTGCTCTTAAACTGACTTTATAATGGGGAAATTATAAACCTATAACAATGAGCTTATGATTTTGAAGTTAGAAGTTTTATCCGTAAACTACTAGATGTATCTGTTCTGTTTTGGGTTTCATGATATTTGAATAGTGGGCTCTGCTGCTACAAAGTTTGGCCATGTCTGTCCTGGTACAGTTCCCTCTGGTTCCTGAGGCCACCAGAGGCTTTGAAGGGAGGCGGCTGGTCCAGCCTGGGGGAAGAGCCCTCTGCTCCCCACTCCCCAGGGTCCTTTGCACTTACTTGCACCCAGGGCAGCAGGTGGGAGACAAAAGAGGGTGAGAGTTAGCAGGGGGGCTGGGAATGATCTGCCCCTCAGAGTGAGGGGACAGTGAGACCAGGAGTGATATAGCCACTTGGAGTGGCTATATCAAGTGCCATTTGGATAGACAGGTAGATGCATGGATGGATGGGCAGCCCCCAAGTAGTCCCATAGTGGTGGAGTGGGGATGGGAAGGTGTGTGTGCACGGGTGGGTTGAACGTGGGGGTGGCCAGGAGCATGCATGCCGAAGTGAGGAGGCATGTGTGCATGAGTGGGGAGAGGGCGGGGGGTGGGGCATGCATGTGTGCAGGGTCCTCACCATCTGCACTCGTGTGGCAGTGCAGGAGCCCCGCTCTGGACCCTGCTCCAGCACACTGGGGACCCCAGGCTGCAGAGGGGAGATTAGATGAGGTAGGGCGCACAGCTCAGGTGGGCTGCTGAGATCCCCCCGCCCCAAGGGCTATGTTTCTGCCTCCCACCATCTCCCATATACTGAAGCTCTGCACCCACTTGTCACCCTTTAATGAGGAAACTGACACTCAGAAGAACCCAGGGACCTGAGTCCTGAGCCCCTGAGTCCCCTCTCTGTTCATTCCTACCCCAACGCAACCTCCTTCATACAGCAGCTCCAGGTCCCCTCTCCAGGACCTCACCCAGCTCATGGTTCCTCTGTGCTCCAAATCCATGTGTCACCCCAGCCTGGCTTTGCCACTAAAATGAAAACCTTTACCTTTTCCCCCAAACCTCCCACTCTTCCTCTTCTCAGCCAGACTCACTTCTATGCATCGAACTGCCCAAGCTAGAAACCTAACAACCTAACCATCCTTCTTGAGAGTCTCACTCGCACTCACTTGTCCTTCCACCCTGTCGTCAAACATGCATGCTGGTCTGGCCCTCTCCCTCACCACTGTCCAGGTAGGAGCCCTTGTGTCCACTCACATGGAGGCTCTAGCTGCCATTCCTGACTCCCTCCACGTGGACCCTGCACTCCACATGGCTGGCCTGGCCCACCCCTGGGCCCCACTCTCAGCCTACACACACAGCTTTGGGGCCACCTTTCTCCCCCTGTCTGGCTGCCTGGCTCTCAGGTGGAAGACTGAGTCATTTTCCCAGTGATACGCCCCCAAACACACCTGATGAGGTAATCAGGCCCATGAGTGCCTCTCATCTTTTTCCATGGGTTTTTCCCACGGGGGTTTCCATTCATGGTTTGCTGTGACTGCCTCAGCAGACCCACTGCCCCACACAGTAGGGGGACCTCAAACCACCTGGCAAGACTGAGGTTCTAGGTAAGGCCTAACCTTAGGCCAGCACCCCCAGAAGCTGCAGCTAAGCCCACTTGCCTCCTCCTGAGGGTCTTCAGATCCCCCACCTCAGCTTCCCCAGGCCCCTCCCTTAGACCCAGAGAGAAGCTATCTGTCCCGTAGTCTGGGGCTTCTGATGACCCACAGACCTACAACCTCCTGTCACCTGCTGAGACCCCAAAGGCACATCCCGCCCACAGCTCCCGAGGACCTGCTGCTGTCCAAGGAATCACCCCCTCCCCACAAAAGGGGCTCACCGGGGGCCTGTTCACCAGCCAGTATGTCTGCTCCTGGCATGCAATGACCAGCCTGTCCCCCTTCCTGCGCTGCTTAGCTGCCCTGAGGGAGTAGGTGGAGTTGGGGGAATACCAGTGCCCACCACAGCACCTCCCTCACCCACCCTCAGGCCAGGGCCAGGGCAGACAGCCAAGCGTGGGCTGTACTCTTTCTGGTCCTATGGCTGCCAGTGCCCAGCTCAGTGCCTCTGAGCTTCCCGGGCAGTCTGGGCTCTGTGCCCGCTGGGCTTGGGGTCTCACCGCAGCTGTTCTCTTGCCTGCATCACTACCAGGTCCCATGTGTGGTTGATCTTCCTGTGCAGCTGGTCATAATGCTCCTGGAGGTAGTGTCATCCAGTAGGTAACCCCCTCCCATGCCAAGCTCTGGGGCGTGAACCCCCCACCTCCCCACTGAGACCGCGCAGGGTATGGCTGTCTGTGTAAGGCTGCATTATCCTGGGGCCTGGGCTGTGTGCTCCAGGGCAAACTGTGAGGCCCTGGGGACACAAATGGGGCTTGAGTTCCTCCTACTGGACTCAGCTTGGAAGGCAAGTCCCACCTTCTCGTGGTCTGTCAGGGCCCCCTGCTTTCGGATGTTCTTCTTGGCTAGGTAGATAGCTGGAAGGACAGGACAAAAGGCTGCACAGGAGCAATCTCTGCCCCTTCCTCCCCTATGGCATCACCGAGAAGCCACTAGTCCTGGGAGCTTGTCCCAGGCTAGCCCACCCCTCCTCACTCACCATAGTCAAGCTCAGCAGCTGGCCACAGGGTGCTCGTCCAGAAATAGGGTGTCTGGTGCCATGCGGGGACAAGGGTGTCTGGACCTCCTGAGCCTTCCTCACCCCAGGAGTTGCCCCCACCCACTCAGCTCCCTTGGGAGGAGACCGGGTTGACTGGGGGTGGGTGGGAGGGGGTGCCTGAGGATCTGCCAGCCTGCCCATGGTCCAGAGGTTCAGCCGGCCACAGGCCATTCTCCCCACCTGGAACCGAACTCCACTCACCCCTTAGGGCCCTGTGTAGAGGCTGCCTCCCTGACTCTGAGCTTCAGGAGCTCCAGCTCCAGGGAGGGGTGGGGTAGGGCCTGCCCAAGCCCAGGATATAGTCGCCGTCTGTGCTGGGGGGAAGGCGGGTAGGGACTGAGGGCAAGCCTGGCCTGGGTCCCTGTTGTGGCTGGCAAGGGCAAGAAGGGGGCTACAGCATGACTAAGGACACACGACGAAGTGTAGGGATCCAGTCCTCAGGCCCCACAGCCTCATTTAGGGGTGGAAACCTAGGGACCAGGGAAGCTGGCAGAATCCCCCACAGGCCCTGCTGTGACCCCAGAGAAACTGAAGCCCCCTTCCCTTAACTTGATCCTACCACAGGGAAGCTTTGAGTCCAGTCCTTTCGGAGAGGGAGTGGTAGGCCACCAGTCCTGATGTGACATCACTGCATTTTGCTCCCACCCCAGCCCTACCCCTTCCAGGAATCCTCACCCATCTGAGCCTGACCTGGAACCTGTAGAGTGTTTCATCCGGGCGGAGCACAAGGCTGCGGGGCTCGCGCAACGGGTACAGATAGCCATGCCTCAGTAGGAGAATGCCCAGGTGCAGGGCCTCTGGGGAGGGGATGAGTTCTCAGCTGGAAGAACTGAGCAAGGTCTTTGGGGGCGAGCTCCCCTTCCCCACACACTTGGCTTGGCCCTGACATGGGTGAGCCCCAGAAGGCTCAGTCCAGCATCAGCACAGGGGCCCCAGGGCAGGGTGGGAGCCAGGATGGGCAGTCGCTGACTCCCTTACCCTCCTCTGAGATGCAGTACTTCTGGATCAGCCACTCCATGATGTCGTTGCCTGCGTAGCAGAGATTAGGTGGGGGAGACCAGGCAGGGCCAGTACCCCTCCCCACTCCCCGCCTGCCCCTCCCACCCTCCTAATCTTTCACCCCC